GTGAACTCTTCCTTGATTCCGGTTCCATTTTCCTCTGCACAACTTTTTGCTGGAGATAAGAGCCACCTAGGAAAACCAATAATGCAGATACTTATTTACTGCAATAAGTAGTCTATTCCTAGTGGGTCACCTCTCTGGTTACTGTCACTTGATTATATTCCATAAAGAAACAAGCTGTTGAAACACAGGAGATGAGGTTTTTTGGTTTGTTTTTTAATCTCAGGCATAGCAAGATTACATAGCGGAAGACTACATTTTATGTTTCATATTGCTAAGTTCCTACAAATTAATTCAAGAGGTCATACATCTTTTAACTCAAAGAGAATAGTATATTTGTGTGTGTGTGTGATTTCTGTACATATATACTATTCATATATATTATGTATTAACCAGCCTATTTTCCAGGATAGAATCCTAGGATCTAGGATAGATCCAAACTGGGAGAATCAACAAGAAGGGGAAGAAACCTGATCCTAACTTAGGACAGGGACCTGCTTCTCCCCCCACCAGAGTGTGAGATATTTAGGGTCTATCTTGCCTGTAGTGCATCTGAACATTCACTGGCACATTGACTAATGAGTCCCCAGAGATGAAGCTCCTTTAAGCAAAGTCATTACATCATCATGGCTGAGAAGATTAACAAGGGAAAGAACATCTGTTAAAAGTCCGGGGAACTTAACTGCCTGTTTTCCATCCAGAGCTTCTCTCTCTCTCTCTCTCTCCACCCCAGGGGCTGCTGACAAAAGCCAAGACCTCTTCCCAGTGCCCTTTCTGTTGCTGGCATCCTCCCTCTGCACTCCTGCCCCAAATGTATTTCCCCTCCCACTTCAAATACTCACTAGCATTTCACCACCATCCTCCCTCTGGAAACTGACAGAAGTCATAGATACAAACCTGCTTTTGCTGATTATTCTCTAAATGAAGAGCTGCTCTGACGTATTTGCTCAAGTAGGCATTTGGTTTCAAGTCCTCCATTTCTATTTGTGGAACAGATTGATGCGTTCCTCAGATATTCACTGAGCACTTATTACTGTGTCGAACCCCATGCTAGGCAGTAAATCCCACTGTGATGAACAAGACCACTGTGGCCACTGCCCTCCTGAAGTTTGCGATCTAGCTGTTGAAACTGATATCAACTGAATAAGCAGGCAGATATATAATGACCAATGATAAGTACTATGAGGAAATAAAAACAAGACGCTCTGGAGGACAGCAGAAGATCTACCTTGGATTGGGGTGATATTTAAGAGTTCTAAAGAATAAAAAAAGAACCCACCATATGAATAGTTGGGGAGAGAACCTTCTGGGCAGAAGAGTCAGCAATGACATCCCAGAATAGAGAATGAGCTTGGTGCATTTAGGAACTGAACGGAGACCAGTGTGGGTGGAGAACAGAGAATAAATAGAGATGAAGCTGAGGAGGCTGGCAGGGGCCAGATCATGCAGGTTTTTGTGGATTTTAATCTCATAGCAGTTAAGAATCCCCGGAAAGTTTTAAGCGAAGGAATGGCATGATCTAATTTGTGTCGCAAAGAGATTGTTGTGGGTGCTGTATGGAGAATCATTAGAGGTAGGCAAGACCAGGGGTAAAGAGAAGAGTGAGTTACTGGAGCAGCCCCTGGGAGAAACAGTAGCTTGGCAGGCCCATCCCTTGGGTAGGGTAACTAGGTTAGCTGTCCTGAGCTCTGAGCTCAGGTTCACAGTCTCCTACGTTTAACTTCTCAAGTCTGAACAACACTGAAATTCATTTTTTGAATTCTCTAACAGTATCGCCAAGGGTTTATGAAAGATGTCCACACTATGGCCTTCTTTTGACTGTGATTATCTTGGGCAGCCCACACTGGTTGCATCCTTCTAGGGACTGCCCTGGACCTCGGGTGGTGAAAGGGAAGGCACACCTCAATTGACGGAGTCCACATATACTTGAAGCTAAGACGAATAAGCCTTGCAGGTGGATGGTATTTGTGAGGTGAGGGAGAGAAAGGAATCAAGAATGACTCCCAGTGACAGCTGTGCCACTCACCGAGATGGGGAAATAAGGAAAGAGTGCAGAGAAATGAAAACTATTAAACCACTTATATAAATGCCCATCCTTTAAATCATGTTACTTTTAAGATTCAGTTCATTTTAACTTCTGACTAATACTCTCAGTCAGTCGTGGCTTGGGACATTTTAGCTTTCAGTTTCTCCCACTACGAATTTACTGATCTATAAACAAATACTTGAGAAATCTTTTTACAATAAGAGCGATTCTTTTGTGTCTTTGCATTTTGAATGATTTCACCTTCTAGTTTACTGTCAAGAGTAAGATGTTCAGAAATAGATGCTAACCATTCTGTTCAGTGACGATGGGGTCTAGTTCCTGTTGGACCGCAGGGCCACTGAGCATGTCCATGTCCCACGCTTTGATCCTATTTGCAAGGCAACATGTTAGGAAAACTTTCTCAGTATGTAAAAGAGAGTAAAGAAACCCGATGTTTTATTCTTGGCTGACCCATTTTGTAATGTTAGTCAAATTACTTAACCTCTCTCTGCTTCAGTTCCTCCTTCAGGAAATGGTGTGAATAATATCAACCTCCCTGTATCTCACAGTAATGCCAGGCTAGCTAATTGACTCGGCCACACGTGATGGAATTGGCAGAGGCGGGGAGGGGGACGGTGTTGGGAAAAGATATTAAAATGTGAAACAGCATTACCATGGTCCAAGTTAGATACTACCATTGCACAGCTCCCCTCTAGTGAGGCCTTTTGAAGATCGCTGTTAACTCTTTCAGGCAATATCTTCCTGTATGATGGAGTTGCCACGATCTATCATTTTGCTATAACAGTTTGATTTTCAAATTCTAGCCCAGCCAGAAGCAGAACATACTCCAACTTTCAACGAAAACATTTGCATTTGATTTTCGAATATTCCTTCTCTTTTTTTTTAGATTTTATTTATTTATTTGACAGAGAGAGAGACAGTGAGAGAAGGAACACAAGCAGGGGGAGTGGGAGAGGGAGAAGCAGGCTTCCCGCAGAGCAGGGAGCCCGATGTGGGGCTCGATCCCAGGACCCTGGGATCAAGACCTGAGCTGAAGGCAGAGGCTTAACGACTGAGCCACTCAGGTGCCCCTTGAATATTCCTTGAAGTAGTAGAGCAAAAGCACACCTGAGAATTACAGCATTTGGGAATGGCTGGTTTACTGCACTTACTCAAAACCTCACCTACCAGTATGCTAGTTAATGTGGCCCAGTCGTAAGTAGGCAGCTCCTGGGACACAGAAAAGAAATGTGGCTCAACTGTGTGTAAAAAATGCTCATAATCCTCCCATTGCAAAGTGCTCTTCCCTTTGAAAGTGCATGTCTCACCTCTACGAGGTAAACATTTCATCCTCACCTTATAAAAGGAGAAAATGAGGCTCAGAGAGATCAACTAGTTGATCCAAAATCACATGTTGGTAAATGCCAGAGGCAGGATTAGATTCCGGGTCTTCTGATGCTTTTCCAGGACTTTTTTCTCACTATGTGAACATGATAATAGATACATCTATGAAAAGAAGGAAGAGAAGAACAATGTGCCCTACATACTCCATTCAAATTTCACAGCAAAGGAGTAACTTTTATAACTGATGTGATATTGTATGGGTGGCCCAGAATTATTGGACCTATCAACCCCACTGCCTTCTTCCTCTCCTTACCTCTTTATAAATCAGCATCAAAAGTACCAGATAAGAATCCTCAAATTTTAACCATTCACAGACTGAGTCTGAATAAGGGCCTCTAATTGTCGGCGACATATAATGTTACAGCGGCAGGAAGGGATTCACAGGCACTGAGGCTGATGTGTGGGGCTGACTCTCTGAGCTGGTGAGGAGCCTCTCCTGCCACCCAGCATTCAGATACCAGTGTGGTTTCTTTGTTCCCACTCATGACCGCATGCCAATTCTGTGAAGAGAACTTACACTCTAGAAAGATCTTCCAAAATTTGAGGATTTCCAAAGGTCTTGGGACGTATTTCTTAGAAATATCAAGGGATGACTGTATTGGATTTTCCTGCTTTAATTTTGATTTAGTGGCTAGAAACTCAAGAGTAATGTTGGTGCTCATAGTAGTAACTAACCCATCTCAGATTCCTAACACGTATGTCCTCCTACTTGGCTTCTGACTAGTTTAAAAAAAAAAAAAAAAATCATTTCTCATTTTTATCATTCTCTTTTGTGTTTTGTTGTAAACGGTCTCAAGTCATTTCTCAAAGTAGGGAGATCTGAGACCCCAAATAAATGTTGAAACTAGGCTTCCTAGAAAGAATCATTTATCTTAGTCTGGCCCTGCTATAACGTCAGAACTACTGAAAAGAATTAAGGACAACGATTTCTAAAAGACAACAGTAAATGTTTTTTGATGACTTAAGCCAAATTCTGAGTCTCTGGGGTAGCTAATTATGCTTTGAGTGACACCTCATGGTTGAAAGGCACGGTTCCAACTTCCTCCAGAAGACTCAGACCAGTGTTTCTCAAAGCTTGGTTCTCGGACCCTCCTCAGAATCATCCGGTGCCTGTTCAAAATGCAGGGGAATTCCTGGGCCCCGCGCTGCTGAAGTCTCTGGAAGTGGGCACCGGGGAATCTGTATTTTTCACAGCCACCCCAGGTGATCCAGGCGTGTCGTCGAGTTTGAGAACCACTGATTCAAGTGCTGCCAAGCCAGACATGCACACACCCCAGGGAGTGAGAAGGCGCCAGGGCGCGGGATGGACTAGGCGGGGCCTTAGCGATGCCCACCCGATTCGTCACGGCGGGAAGGAGGCGGGGTAAAGAGGTCTGGCGGCGGGAGGTGAACACAGAGCGCCCCGGGGGTGCGGCCGGCTGCCCCGTTGGCAGCGAGGGTGGGAGCGGCGGTGGCTTGGGCCCTTGAAAGCAGTCGGCCCCGGCCGCCTGCGCTCGTCCCTGCGCAGCGAGAGGGCGCGGGAGGCGGAAGGGCTGCGCGGCGCGGCCCCTAACGCCTGTCTTCCTGTCCGCAGACGAGCCCAGCTGCTGGAGTTCTGCCGCCGCCGCCTCCCCAGGCCTGCCGGAAGTAGGCGTCTCCCTCGAAGACGTCCTCCCTCCATTCTCTCCATCACATCCAGCCCCACCCTCCGACCCTTCCCACCAGATAGGCCCAGACCCAGCTTGGGATGTCAAAAGGGAGCACGACGTTAGGAAACCAAAGGAGCTTTCAGCCGGCGGCCAGAAGAAGCAGCGCCTCGGGGAGCAGAGGGAGCGCTCGGCGAGCCCGCAGAGGGCCGCCCGGCCGAGGCTCGAGGAGGCACCCGGCGGCCAGGGGCGGCCCGAGGCCGGCAGGCCCTCCTCGGAGGCCAGGGCGCCCGGGCCCGCGGCGGCGGCGGACGCGGCGGACGCGGCGCGGCCCGGCGGGAAGGAGGCGCCCCGCGCCGCGGCGGGCCCCGAGCTCGGCCGGCGCGAGGGCCGCGGGGCCGCGCCTGCGTGCGCGGGCCCGGGCCGTGGCGGTGGCGCCGAGCGGCCCGGCGCGCGGGAGGCCGAGGGCCGGGCGGGCGCGCGCGCGGGGCCCCGAGGGCCGGGCGCGCGGCCCGCGGGGCCCGCCCCGCCGCGCAGGGCCGCCGTGGCGCCCGGGCCTTGGAAAGTGCCCGGCTCCGACAGGCTGCCGGGCGTCCTGAAGCCCGGCGCCTCGGCTGCGGGCAGATGAGGCGCGCGGCAGCGGCCCGCCGCCCCGCCTGGACGCCTGCAGGCCGTTCGTCCTAGGTTCCGTCTCACGGCGTTTTAATTTATTTTCACTGTCACACGCGTAGATCCACGAGCCACCGAGGCCTGGGAGCATCGACGTGAAGTCCCACGTGTCCGGCGAGCATGGGCGGTACAGCGTCCACGCGCAGACCCAAACTGATGCTAAAGGCCCCGGTTCCATTGGGGGGGCTTGGGCAGCTATGGAAGAACCAAAATAACGTGAAGAACATCAGAGAGAGACAGTGCAGTGTAGCTTTAGTTAAAAAAAAAAAAAAGAAGAGGAAGGAAGAAAGAAAAAAAAAAAATTTACCCCCACTGCATGAAGGATTTGGATGCCATCCAAACTCTAATATCAAGAAACTGGACAAGTTAAGAGCAATCACGAACTGGAATATCGCCTTAAAAATCAAACTGCACGGAGCAAGCGGAAACTGAGACAAGATTATATCTTTTAATTGATCTAAAGAGTTGTAAATAAATTGTTCTCGACATATCTAGACAGGGGTTAAAAGGTTTCTTTGAAACATTCGGAACTGTTCGCCCGTAACATGTTTCCATGGCTCACCCGTGGCATCCATCACCGGTATTAGCAGCAACGTTCCCTGCATACTGCAGGACGAGTTAGAAATCTAGTGAATTCATTGGTGTGATGCCATTTTTACTGCCATTTCTGTGATCAAATCATATTTCTGTACATTTTCAGTGGTAGAAAAAAAAAAAGGTTTAAAAACATTGTATCTTAGGGAGCAGATTGCCGTAAGTCAGAATTTTGCAGTTTAGCTCATAGATCTTAATTGGTTTTCATCTAAAATGTGCATTTTATAATTGAAGGACCACAATTTGTTCAGTCAAGATTGGCAACGCTGCAGTTCCTTTATGAAAAGGCTTTCCTATTGTCTCAGGCTAGCAAAGATAGTAGCTTCTTTGACACTTACTGTCTTTTTTAAAATCCTCTTTCCGTTACTTCATTTTCACTTTGACAGAGCAAAGGGTTTCTCCTATATTTCTCAGATTATAATGAATCCCTAATATTAAAAAATCTTATAATGGCCAATTTATTTTCATAAAAGAATGTAAACCTTTTAGCGTTCTTTTCTGCTTTATCTTTCCTTATCCTTTCTCCTTTTATTTTCATTTGGTTTGCTTGTCTTTGTATTCTTTGCCATTTTTTAAATTTCTTTAGCAACCTCTAGATGTTTCTGTTTATCTTCCGTGGATCTGTGGTTGATCCCCTACTAAAATTCTAAGGCTTGCCTTTCTTCCCTGCCCTTTTAATATTCCTTTGTAAAATGTTACCTTCAGTTAATTATCCATTGGTACTTATTTGTAGCTACACATATTAAAAGGCAAACTGTTTCTGAGGGCAGTTTCTCTTTAATTTGTCCTGAATGAATGAGGTTTCATCCTTCCCAGATGCTGGCCCTTACAGGAGTTCAAATGCAAATAAGCCTCACCTCCCTGAACTTGTAGTCAAATAAGTAGAACGGGAGATCAAGTCCATCACCCAAGGTCACACATAATAGCCTCCCTCCGTTGACTCTTTGCTTCTCTGTAAATTGCAGTAACCTGAGCGCTAGCCATTTAATTTCCATCAGGCATAGGAGTAGTTTAGTTGTTTGACAAGAGGAGAAAATGGTTGAAAGCCTCAAGTGAAGAATCTTGCAGCTTGTAAAAGCAATTTCCAAAAATGGAATCCATTCATCATAAACAAAAGCACAAACAAACACATGTAGCAGTTTACAATACTTTTGGTTTAATCTCAATTAGTCTTTCTCCCCTGGACTAGAAATCCAGTATAGTTTGCCATTAATTTATTGAATCTGGTTTTGGACAATGCTTCTGTAGTGTAGCTGCACGTCCCAGTACTGTATCCTCTGACCTTTATTTTCCATGTGTTACAAAAGGATAAAAAAGTTGAGATTACGCTTGCATAAACTCTAATTTGCACAGTTCACAGTCTACTACTTGTGCAGTAATTGCTTTATGCGGCTGTAATCCATAACCTGTGAAGACAGCACATCATCTAAATTCCATTCCAAATAATATTTCTGTGTAGTGTTAGCTGTGAATTTACCCTGTACAGCTGTATCTCTATAAATATAATTCCATGTATTAATAGTCACAGAAAGACTGTAAGTGAGCAACTATTTTTATGAAACGCACCACTATGGATAAATTAACTTTTACAGAAATCTTGTTTACTGTATGATATTCTAAAACACTGTCAAATAAAATATATATCCAAAATCCTTTTCTTTTTCCAACTATATAGGCTGTGTGTTAATTTGAAGAAAGTAATTACTGGGAGTTAATTTTTTTAAACTGCGGTTTTCGTAGTTTTTTTTTTTTTTTTTTAGAATGGAAATTCAGTGCCCCCAAACAGGACTTTTTTTCAAACTCGAATCTAAATGCAGTGGAATTATACGGGGAAAAAAAACACACAAAAAAAACAAAAAAACCTGTTGAATTCCACACACACCCCCACCCCACCCCACCCCACCGCCAAATAAATGGAGAGTTTTCTCAAAGACACTCTGGTTGCCTGTCAGCTAACTACATCCCCATGAACTGGCAGTATGTTTCTGTTGCTTGCTACCCTGATTGATACTGTGCCTTTTTTTCAAAAAAGGATTTCAGGTATCAATCAACAATAAATCCCATCACATTTTTTTCCTTTTAATTCTGAAATTTTTTCATGTAAAATCCCAAGGAGTTTATGCAGAAGCCAACATTTAGTGAACAGTAGTGTAGAGATCCAGAATGAAAGGCTGAATATGCCCTCTGCAGTGTATTACAGTCCACACATGGGGGAGAAGAGAGGTCTGTGGAGTACTTGGAGGATGACAAGCCCGCTATCACAGAGATAATAATCCCAAGAAACAGTTTTCAATCCTAGTCTTGTTGGGACCGCCCACTGATATCAGTAGGGGGCCTAACATCGCCAAACTGACCATTTTTACTCCACTGTTAATTTTTTTTAAAATTAAGCATGTGTCACTTTTAGAAAAGGGAAGAAGCTGACATGAAGTGTGAAATCAAGCACAAAAGTTCAGGTATTTGTAATAAATCCATGTCATTCTTTATGAACGAATCAAAGAAGGCCCAGTGCACGCTGAAAAAGCACAAGACTTATAAAACAATGTGGTTAGCAAAATGGGGTGTAAATATTAATGATGCACGGCTAATTACTATTTTGAAAGAAAAAATATAAACATCATTAGGACATCAAAAAGATGAGAAATCAGAGTCCAAAGGGCTTAGGATAGGGACAGAGCAGGAGCACGATGAGGCCAGTGAGGCACCTGGTCTGGAAAAGGGCCTTACCATGAACCAAATAGCTCCAAGATCAGGCAGGAAGTATGAAAAAATGAAGACAGCCAGGTAGGGACGGGGCCAACGGACAAGCATGTCCCTCCTCTAAAGCTGTCATTTTGTCAGGGCCAAGTCCACTGTGGAATAGCCTCTCAGTGTCTCAAGAGAAGAAAAAAAATCAGCCTTTTATTTGAAATTTTGTAGGTTTTGTAGTTTGACAAGCTTAATTCACGTTTTTCAAGAAACACTGAACAAGAAGACAAAACACTACCACCACGAACCATCTGCAGACCGGGTCTGGCCCACAGCCCACCAATTTGCAGCCTCTGGCTTGGAACAACAGCCAGACCTTCAGCAGAGGACCCCTCGCTTGCTTTTATCAGGGTCTGATTCACCTTCCAAGCAGTGGATCGTACAGACCCCAGAGATGGAAAAGCGTGTGGCTCTTACGTCCAAACATGCCTGGAATAACTTCAAATGTGTATTCTGAGTGTGAGGCCCTCTGCCAGAAACCTGATCACTGTTCTTGCACTAGAGGTGGTTTGTTGTGAGGCTGAACAAACTGAAGCCATTTGAAATTTTATTATTCGTTCTTGATGAGTTTGCCCCAAACTAAGCATGGGGCTCTCCAAAGGTGAGTCTGCCCTGTCCTATCCATAGGACTCTTTCTCAGGCCAAACTCGTGGCAAAATCAAATGACCTAATTGCCGCAGAATTTGGACTGAACAAAGATTCTTTTTCAGACAGCCTTAGTGCCAGACAGGATATCTGTAAAATCACATGAATGCTTTCCAAGGCTAATAATAGTAAGGGTACTAAGTCTCATGATGAGTTCTGCATTGTGTCTAGTTCATTTAGGGTACCAATTAAATGTGGTAAAGGGTATGGTTATGATTACTGGTGGCAATGCTATGGTGGTAGGCATTTGGGTATAAACAAGAGAGCACCATCCCAGAATTAAACCGAACCCTTGCTGGGCATTGGGTGGCATATCACCCAGACAGCTCAGTTATCAGGGACTCCATAAAAACTTAAGCGTGTCCGACCACTCAGGGGAGGGTACTGCAACCACCCCTGAGAGTCAGCTGGGTTTCTAAGAGTTCCAATAGTTTGATGGGATTTTTTCTTTGATGAAACTGCCTCTCAGAGAGCGATTTCACCTGCAAGAACCTGGGAATCTTGTGAAGCAACAAAGTGACCTTTGACTTTCCTTCTTGGGTGGAAGGTCAATTTTCTAAAACCCTAACAAGGTGTATCCATGTGATTTCATGCCAGGTCAACTGCCTTCACACTGAGGAGCACACATTCTCGGGGTACAAAGAGACTTTTTAGGGGGTACACAGGCAGGGAGAGCTTCAGCAAAATTCGTTTTCAGAAATTCAACTTCTATTTTTATGCATTTCAAACCCGTGGACGGCCAGTTTCCACATCGTCACCTGCCCAATGCAAGGAGCCTTTACATTAGAGAAGCAAGATGAGCTTATCATCGATCCTGCATTTCACTCGGGTACATTACCTCGGGGTGTAAAATCAAAGAGACAACTGGAGGATGCAGCCCTCCTGCAAGAGAATAAAGAGAGCAAAATAGCATCGGTAAGAAATATTCAAGTGGGCAGTGCCTTCCTTCCTCCAGAAGCCCTGGTAGGGTTCCCATCTAAAACTTAGCACCCACATTTATTCGAATTTGAGAATAAAGTTGCACTTTCTCTGATCGAATGTGTGATGGCTGTCTGTCTGGCTTGATCACAACGACTGGCTTTGCCCGTTGGGTTATGTGGCAGGTGTTTGCCATAGATTAATGAGTTAAATCTGCAAATGCAAGGTTTAAATAAACATATTTAAAGCATGCACACAAGAGAAAATACATCCTTTCCAAGAAATCTGTGGGAAGAAAATAAAACTATTTCAGGGGCTACACGTGCTAACAGGGTCGTTCCCTAAGACAAACCGACTTAACATAGCTTCATAAACTTTTACAAAAAGTGTGGAGTGTCTGCCATCTATAAAACATGACCGGGGAACAGAACTCAGCCTGTAGTCTCAGGGCGCCTACCATCTAGTTAGGAGACCAAGACAACTGACACAAGACAGAATGGGTGTGACATGGGAATACGGGATTTGGTAGGATGCGGGAATAGTTGGAGGCAGTTAGAAGTCATCCTGGATATGTGGCATTTTAATTGGGTTTGAAGGGTGGGTGGGATTTCAAGAGGCAGATGAGGTGTAAGGGGGAGATCAGCATGAGCAAAGTCAGAGTTAAGAAACTTAGAGATGTGTTAGAGAAGCCGCGAATTGTTTATTTTAATCAAGACTCTGTGTGTATGTGAGAGAGGGAGACAGAGAGAGGGAGACAGAGAGAGAGGGAGGGAGGGAGGAATTCGATTAAAGAGAGGTAGTTGCAAGCAGATAACAAATGCCATTAGGAACAGTTGGGAGTTATTAAAGGTTTCTGAGCAGAGAAAGGATAAAATCAACACTTGGCTGTGGAAGGAAGTCCTGGTGGTCTGTCCACGGTGAAACGGAGGTGGGAGACTCTGGCAGGTGCTAACATCATGTGAGAGATAAGGAGGCCTGAGCACCCAGAATGGAGGGGAGAGATGGGAGGGCTCTGGAGGATGGAGAAGCAACAGGCCTCTGGCTTACTGGATGCAGAGTCAGGGACCATCCCAGGCTCCAAGCCTGAGTGAAAAAGAAGATGGGAGGAGGACCAGATCTAAAAGGGACCTCATTACTTTTTTGATACACAAAGTGTGAGGGGTTCTCAGGTCACCCAGATGGAAATACTCATCCAGCCAATAAGCATAGACTAAAAAGACGGACATACTCCAAAGAGAATGAAGTTCAGACGAGAGACTGAGCCTAAGATAAGATTTGGGGACCAACTCCCTAGAGCCTTGCTGGGACTCACTCCCAGAGATTCTGATGTAATTGACTAAGATGGGATCATTTGGGAGGGGAAATGTCCTACGCCTTATAAATACATCCATGTAAGTATCAGCATGCAGAGTGCTTTGTTACAGAAAGCAAGGACTCTGGAAAGATTTGCCTTCTATCTCAAGTCCATGAGCCACCGGGAAAGATGTGAGCCAATTTATGATCCCCGTCTTTAAGAAGAGAATGAAAGTGAGCTGCAAGTGGTCCAACTGCAAAGAACATGAAGAAATTCATAGAAGGAAGACTTCAAAACCGATAGTCCTGTCTGCCACACTTTTCACACTTTAAAGATTAACAGGGGTCGTAAGACTCAGTGGCATACCTTCCAATTACTTCCGTGTTATCTCTTATTAATAGGAACCCCTGGATTCTTGCTCCTTGATCTGGATTGCCAACTCGGAGATGCCCTTAGCTGTACCTCAAAGCAAGTTCATGTGGGCAAATGAGCAGCTACAGGATAAAGACCAAGAAACTATATATATTTAGTACGTATGTGTATGTATTGTGTATATGTGTGTGTATATATGTACACACACACACACACAAACTCACACATGTATACCCACACACGGACTTGCACATGACACAGACATATACCCAGGGACTCCAATTTCAATATTGTGACGAAATAACGTATACACCCCAAAGTACATAAAAACCTATGGATAACTTACTCGGTTTTAAAGCAGGCACATGTGTAATCATCATCTAGGCTGAGAAATAATCAGGGACCCTGACCTGAGCCTGGCACAGAGTAAATATTTGCTATGTATACATTTTTTATTGTTGTTACTATCAACTGAGGGATATGTAAACATTTTCCGTGATGCTGAGAGTCTCAATATTTATGGGGTGTTAGCCATGGGCCAGGCACAGTGCCGTGGTCTGAGGCTGTAACCATGAACTAGGCAGGCACAACCCACCCCACAGAGAGCTTACAGTGTTCGAACCCCCAGGAAGGTAAATGGTTCCCATGCAAAGTGTGAGGGGCTCTCAGGTGACCCAGAAGGAAATATTCACC